TGTTTTGTTTTTGCAGAACTGGAGACTAGACTCACTTGGGGATTGCCTCTGGAGTGTCAGGCAAGTGCTCTGCAATTCTCCCAGCCACAGTTGTTATCTTCCATGTTTGTGTGTGTGTTTTTAAATACTAGCCATCTTAATGGGTGTGAGATGGTATCTTATTGTAGCTTAATCCAGGCTTTTTGTTCATCTAAGCCAGTCTCTGGATGTATGCGAGATAGGATCTCTTTCTTCCAGACACTTAGTCCTTGATGGAGGCGGGACACGTGTCTGGGAAGCACCCAAATTGGTGCTGGAGGGAAATGAAGGTGCTGAGGAGGGAAAAGCCCAATACTGAGCAATGGCAGAGCAGCCGCAGGCAGGAGCTTGGAGGAGGTCCTCACGTCTAGCCCTGGCCCACTGGAGGCCAAGCCCCTTCTGGAGACCACGCCCCTGTTGGACAGCAACTTGTGAGGAGCAGTGTGCATGGCCTCAGGGAAGTAGCAGCGGCAGCTGGGAACAGGATGGATGTGGCTAGTTCCTGTGAAGTGGGTGCTGATTGGGGGCCTGGGGGCTCCTGTGAATACTCCCACATCAGAGAAGGCTGCCCACCCGGAAGGAAGGAGGGGACCTTGATCGTGAGCGTTCAGGAGGACTAGTTGCTGGCAGGACAGGGACATCCCCCATGTCTACTAGGCTGTCCCTATCCACCAGGGTAGCCCACCAGCTTCCAAGTCTCAGCTCTATGGCGAAGGACTCTCCTTTGAGGAGTATGGTGCCTCAGGTGGAAGGGGTCCAAGGTGTGGCCTGTGTGGTCAGGTGGTCTCTGGAGCCTTGGGGAGTCTTGCCTGCCATGGGCACCCTTGCTGTATGATGGTATCACAAAAGAAATGGTTTTGGGAAAAAAAATCTAAAAAAAAATGTTTGGGATAAAAGGTAGGTGTGGAAGGGGGATGCTGAGAGGAAATGGGGTTAAAATGGTAAGGAGGAAATGGGCTATGTGGAAGGAGGGGGTCCTTTATAAAGGACACAAGCAATCATGTCCTATACAGCTAGAGACACTGTAGATATGAAGCCTGATGGGATCTGGGTTGCAGGGGCAAGTCCTAGATGGCCCAGAGCACAGAAAGGGAGCAGGGGATGGTGGAGGTGAGATGCAGCTGGTACTTGTGCAAGTGAGAAACAGGATGTTGCGGTGCCATCCCCTCTTACGATTAAGAGGACAGTTTAATTCCTGATATAAGAGCTTAAGCCAACACACACACACACACACAGAGAGAGAGAGAGAGAGAGAGAGAGAGAGAGAGAGAGAGAGAGAGAGAGGGGGTGGG